GTTGTTTTGTAGAACACCAGGAGACCATCAAGCCAATCTGTAGAATCCAGTGATCAGAATCCAAATATATATCCAGAACAGAGGTCCCACCTTTGACATGTCCTCCCATGGAAAAATAATGTTTAATAGACCAGCTAACCAAATCCATAAAAATAAATCCATCATTTTTGGTTTTGGATGAAAACGTAGAGAAGGCTGTGAGCAGCAAGCAGGGAAAGATAAGGGAGGGCAGGAGAGAGGGAAAAAGCGTCTTACTCCTCCGAGAGCAGAACAAAAAATAATAATAAAATAAAAATTAAAAAAATTTAATTAAATTAAAAAAAGAACTGCTTGCTGTCCAAGCAGTTATTTGTGATGTTAATATTGGTTCACTGACAGTAAATTTGGGCGTGCTGATCAGGCAGACTGAAATATTCAGCAACCTCAACACCAACATGACATGCACAATCTATCATACACATTTGCATGATAAGATTGTGTTTAGTTAATAAAACAAAGAGGAACTAAAACGGTTTTAGGCAAAATGTAAAGGTTCAGTGTTGACTGACAGTGTTCTTTCACACCAGTATGTCCTGTGTGAGAATGGTTTTATAACTCTGAAGAAAGACTAATTAAAAAAGCCTTAAGCCTTCTTACTCTTCTCTTCATACTTTATGTTCTTCAGCTGATCTCATGGCTGATTGACTGACTCCACTATTATAAAATGACCAGACAATCCTTTTAATAGACTGAAAGTAACCAAACACTTTATTTGATGTCAAATAGTCTTTGTTATTGTTTTTTTATGATTATTCATACACAAATATGAAATTGTCAACACATTTGAAAGTCTTAACGGTTGTTCACAATAAACATTTGTGTGTACTGTATATATGTTGCACAATTCACAATACTGGCACTTTTAGGATGGGTTGGAGATTCATGCAATAAAGTCGACATGAGTTCCAGACTGGTCCAAGAGCTCGCAAAGACTGTTTTAGAACCCAGTGCGAAACTTTTTGTGTCTTAGAAACAAAAATAGGAATGGAGTCGTTTCTGCATTTTACTCACTGTTTTTGGTCTGTCTCACTTTATTCTGATCCTGAAGCCTTTAAACTTTGACTGTGTGCCGAAATGGTTTCTATCTGAAAGGAAGTTGGGCGTCAGTCTGTGAGTGATGTAATTAGAAGAAATTTGGCTTGTTTATTTAAAAAATAATGCGACATAAAATATGGAATCTTTTTTTTTTCATTTTTCTTTTTAAATGAGTTCATTTGATTTTAAGTTGTGTCATATGTTTTTTTAACAGATCATACACAAAAGTAAAATCCAAAATAAAAGCCAACAAAGATTTGGTGAGTATTATTTTCATTACTTTTCTCCTTTTTGCTTAAAATGCAACAATAACAATAAATAAACAATACATTTGAAGACTGCTGATTCAACACGTTCAAACTCCTTAGTCGTCATATATGGACACATGGTCAGGCTCACACTGCATCACTATTGATGCATCAGGTACCCCCCCCCCCCCCTTGTCATTAACTGATGTGTTAGTAAGGTCAGAGGTTGGATGTTTAGAGTTAATACATTTAAACGTTTTTTCAAAAATAAAACGGGCTCTTTCTCCTTGTTCTCATGTTGTCAATTAATGACAAGAGGGGAGTACCTGATGCGTCAATAATGTAGAGGGGGTTTGACTACATGTCCATACAGTATGACTAGGGAGTGAGAATGTGCTGGCTGATTCATAACAGGTGATGGTGGTCAATCCAGCTTTTATGATGTATGTTCATGAAGTGTGGCTGGAAAATAAGGGCAACTATCCATCCACTGGATTCATGGGTTTGGTTCTTGCACTTCACATTTGTAAAGAGGTAGGTACACCTGACTGATTCTTTGAAGAAGATTTGAAAGTTCTCTGTTTCTGTAATTGTCTAAAAAAACTAAATATGATTGTCAAGATCTTCTAGTGTGACCTTAGTCTGGGTATGGCAGTCACAAGTTAGCATCTTTGCCTTTTAGATTCCATCCATCCATCCATCTGACTCCTTAGAAGCACATCCTGACACAAGGGGTTTCCTCAGACTGATGTGATTATTACAGTCAGAACCTTGAAAACCAAAGAAAAATAGAAAAAATAAACTTCTGATATTTCTGATACAGCCATTAAGCATTACATACCTTGTTGGCTTTGTGCTACCAAAGGAATCAAAGGAATTAGGCTTATTTTCTTCATTTCAGCTTCAAGCTGCTCTTCTCTTTTGCTGAAGTCTATGCTTAATTGATGCTAACCTTGCAGCATTTCTCATCTCTGGCTTCTTCCTCAGGTTGCATTGTGTATACTTGAGTACAGTGCCTTCTAAATGAATTGGGTCGGGTTGCAGGGGAAGCAGCTTAAACAGGGACGTCCGGCCACCTTTTCCAGTTCTTCCCATGCTAGCCAAGAGACATTTGGCCTCATGCAAGAACCGTTTGTACGCACAGATTTGTTCTTAAGTTGTGCATACGAGTGATTTAGGAGAATTTGTGGCATTCACCAATGTTTTCGTATTCTAAGATTTTTTTCAGATACGAACAAAATTCACGAGTGGTCCAGACCTGTCGTATATTTTACCAGCAGTCAGTCTGCTGTTATCCAGACGGGTTTTCCTCCCTAATAACTTTATATTTCATTAGTTTGAAGATATTTTGAGATGAAAATAAATCACACTCTATGATTATGTTGACAATAGGCTGTTGTGCTTGAATTAGAGTTATAATTTTATATGTAATAATTTAGACTAACAATAGAAATTGTCTGTCCGTTTTCTGCCACTTATCTGGGATCAGGTCGCAGGGGCAGCAGCAGAGAGACCCCGCTCTCCCCAGCGACACCCTCCATGTCCTGGGGGACTCCGAGACATTCTCAGGACAGAGGGGATACATAATCCCTCCAGTGAGTCCTGGATTTTCTCCAAAGTGCCAGACATATTTTGAAATCATTTTAAAATGCTTTTTTCAGAACCGCAACTGAGACCACTTGAAACCGCGCGGGGTGGTGGTGGTGGGGGGGGCGTATGGTGCGCAACGGTGTGGCTTCTGAATAAATGAAAATGATTTAACACAGTTGTTTATACTTTGTTTATACTACCATAAGGGGGTTATGCTCTCTGCCTATTTATTTATTTATTTATTTATTTATTGAACCATTTACTTTTATAAAACAATTCAGGATATTTGAGAGGTTTACTGCACATTTTCTGTTCCACATCAGTTTAACAATTAAGAAATTACATTTTTATTATTGTGTTAGTGCAAACGACGTCATGTTACTGCGTGGGTTATATTGATTGGATTAAAATATTGTGGTGGTCATAACCCCCCCCCCCCCCAACCCCCCTGCAAATCATGCCTATGGGTCCCCCCAGAGTCTCTTACCAGTGGACATGCCCAGAAAACCTTCCAAGAGAGGTGCCATGGGGGCATCCTTACCAGATGCCTGAACCACCCAGGCTCCTCTTGGTGTTCACATTGTTCCTCCTGATTCTGAGATTCAACCATTAATTGGACTCTCTTCTCCAGCACCCTAAATAGACAGTGAAACAAAGGAAAATGTGCCCTTATAAGTGGATCACCCCGTACAGTTGGGGACCCACCAGGGGTCACCAAGTCTATCATTATCTACGACCTAGGGTGTCCTGGTTCCAAGTGCATTGATACCCTTATGTTTGAACATGGTGTTTGTGATGGAAAAACTGATAGTCCAACAACAGAACCTTCTTGGGTTCATATAGAGGTTGTTCCTTGCAATCATGCCACTCCAGGCTACATTATCATTACCCACATGGACACTGAAGTCCTCTAGCAGAATGAAGGAGTCCCTAGCTGGAGTTCATTCTATCACCCCTACTAAAGGCTGAGTACTCCAAACTGCTGTTCAGTGCATAGACACAAACAACTGTTAGAGCTTGTCCCTTTACCCAAAAGGCATAGGAAAACTACCCTCTCATCTACTGGGTTATACAGTATGTAGACTCACACCAGCTTGGTGCCTCTCAACATGGACTAATTCTTTATGGAATGAGGTCCAGCGCCACTCAAGGTGATTGGGTCCAGAGCACATGCCATGTAGAGGTAAGCTCAGCAATATCTAGCTCTGAATCTCAAGCTAAAGCTCAGATTCATGCTCCACCAGAAAGGTAACATTCCATGTCCCAAGAGCCAGGTTTAGTAGGCCAGGGTTGGAGAGCTAAGGCCCCCACCATTAGGTATTACCCATTGCAACCACCTGCACCAAACTCATATGGCCCCTTCTGCAGATGGTTGGCCCACATGAAGGCAAACCCATGTAATTCGTTTGAGCTGGTCACCAGGCACTCACCTATAAGCCCCTCCCCCAGGCCTAGCTCTATAGTGTGTGGCCCCGATCACCCACTTCCAGGCGAGGAACACTAATCTGTTCATACCAGGGTTGTTTAAAGTACCTCAAGGTAATACTTGAGTAAAAGTACCTTACCATAAAATTACTTTGGTAAAAGTTCAAATCTCACCACAATAAGGTGGTAGTTAAAAATAAAGGTAAATTTTATAAAGATTTGTATTTAATGTTTTTTAACAAAGAGGACAAGATTTAAAGTAATACTTCAAAGCAAAAAGTTCAACTGTGCATTTTAATCTCCTTTTATGAGATTTTGTTATGATGGGGAAGGTTTGCAGGCTTTTTCATAGAATTTTTTTGTGTTTTTAAAAACAAGATAAAGACAACCCAGATAAAGAAATCAGACAAAAACAATATACTTTGTCATGTTGAGGACCACAATGAACTTGCAACCTGTCCAGGGTCTACCCCGCCTTTTGCACAGCCACTGCTGAAGATAGGCACCAGCTCCCCCACAACCCGGAAAGGAAAAGCAAATAAAGAAAACTGATGGATTTTATTATGTGACAAACTAGTAACTAATTTGGTTGTCAGATGTGTGTGAAGCTCACAGATAAGCAGATAATTTGAAAGTGAAATTTTAGATGGCATGATAAACAGGTGCAACCTGCATTGTCTGACAAAGTTATCTTTATTCATTTATTTGGTAATCTGTTGGGTTACAAGGATATCAAATGACAGATGTCATTGTACTTTGTGTACTTTAACTACAAATGTAATGTTTAATTGAATGAAAACAATAATTCTATAACATAGTATAGGATTTATACACCCTACACTTTATAGGGTATAACCTACTCTTCTTAAAACCACGTTATAAGGAAAACTACGAGTTTTTCTGTTTAAGGAATAAACACCTTCTCTGTGTAAATATGAGAATACCACACAATAAGTGAACATACTCAGGAATTTAAGTTGATCTAAAATAAATGATTTTTATTTACAGAATCAAATAAATTACTAATTCAAATCTTATTGTGAACAATCAAATTTTGTTGTGAGTTAAAACATCAACAAAAACAAGTACGCGTCCGCACTAATTAATGTCGATGTGACAACTCTAACAGAAACAGCAGAACTTCAGGTTTAAGGTCTTAATAAACCAGATGTTTGCAGGTACATGAAACTTATACGGCAATGTTTAAGTTTAAGAGATAGAAGGAAAGGAGGAATATTAGTGCTAACGTTTAACTTGTCAGTATGTGAGGAAACCAGGACGAACATTTTGGGTCTCAGCCGAAGCGTTAGCCCAAACTCTGGTACACTAGTCAAAACATTCAGCTTTACCTGGAGGTGTGGACCATCAGGTTCAGCGTTAGGAAGTATTCACCTGGGTTGGTAAGAAAGCCAGGTCAGGTCCCTTACCACCAGTAAAAACTTCCAAAGTTTTGCTTTTCAGTGTCTCCGGAAATCTGCCTCTGCCCGAAGGAGTGAGCCAGATTCGATTTGGTCTTCTCTTCAAAATAAAAGACTTCTCATCAGAAGTTTTAAAATAAAACTTAACGGAGCTTCAAAGCTGGCTGTTTTGGATAACGATTGAAGGTATCGTGAGCTTATAGGCAAAAGATCTGCTCATTAGCAAAAGAGTCAAATCTGATTGCCAGATGCTGATTTTTCCTGCGGAGGAAAAACAGCTTCTTTGTTGGGACAGAGATGGTGTCCCTTTCTTGACTTTTTTCATTCTATCTGTCGAGTGCTTTGTCCCAGGGTTAGTTTCTAAAAGAAAAAAGAACACTAGGGAAGTGACCTCGACTTTTGTGTTAGTTAACAGGAAGAACTTTTTTTAAAGCAACTTCAGTAGAAAACAAAACTGAATGTTAGTTTCTTAATTTCTGCATCATCAGTGGCTTTTTTGTGCACTATAGTAAAGAAGAAAAGGAAAAAAGTAGAAGAGAAATACAAGAACTGAAAGGAGAGAAACCGATACAAATTATACAACATGTGAAAAGAACACCAATAACACACAGGACACCACACTCGACATCTGACCATCAGCAAATGAAGAGAACAAACACCCAGCAACCAAACTTAAACAGATATAAGTACTTATACCCATACACACATACATAAATAAATACACACACATATACACATTCACACCTACATACAGTAATTATAACCTCATTAATTAATATACACAAAACACACATACCTACACAGACAATCAGGCACATACACATATACACACACATAAATGCATACATACATACCTACATACACACACACAAATACACCCCCACCCCACACACACACACACACACACACACACACACACACA